GTAAACAGATCATCAGTCTTGTGTACAGATCAGTCCGGATAAAGTCATGCCAAAACGCGACATTTTACGCGATAAAATAACGGGTTTAAATATCAGCATTTGGACGGAAGGCGAGTGGCAGCTACCATAAACATTCTCTTAACTGTGGCATTTACTTGCCACGGCAAGTTGTGGGCATATACTTGCCACGGCAAGTATGTGGATGGTTGTGGCATTAATCTTTGCCACGGCAGTTGTGGCATCTGTGGCATATACTCCGCACAGATACACCTCTGTGGCATATACTTTGTCCACAGATACACGGAGTAGCGGCCTCTGTGGCAGATGCGGAAGTACGTGCCACTGCTGCAGATCCACAAAATGAGCAGGCCCTCTGTAAATACTGGCTGTTAGGCACTGACATGCCATAACAAAACCTGATTTAAATGTCAACCTCTTTTTGTGACAGATTTTTCAAGAATTTAATTCTTCTGAATGATTTTCTTTTCTATTGACCAGCTAGTTTATATGTTCAAATTTATGAGATGGACAGCCAGAGAAGAATAAATGAAAAACAGTTTATGAAATACTATATGCACAAAAACAAGAAGTTTAAGTGGATTTTGTAAAATATCAAAAAGAAAAATCTGTTTACAGTTCTGTTTCATATGGGTGTTGAGAGATGATCCATAGAATCTCTTAATTTTTCAATCAAAGTGCACCAGATTGATGCCTTCAAATTAATATTTTAAAAAAACTACTTCCAGGGGAGCATGCCCAGACCCCCTAGAGGAGGTGAGGACCCCCCTAGAGGAGGTTAGGTCCGAGGTGTTTTACATGCTTATTTATACAATATGTTCGTGCTTATGCTAAATTATAAGACAAAAGTTGGTTCCATGTTGTGTGTAGTGAGAACGCGCTAGAGTGAGGGGGGCCCCAAGCCAAAGCTTGCTTAGGGCCCCCAAAAGTCTAGGGCCGGCCCTGCTCTTGGAGTATGTTGAGAAAAGTATTCTATCAATAATCGTTATCCAGTCATTTACCATATATGATTCTGGAATGTGCCATTATGCTTAATGAATACCTTTACTTTTGATATTCTAACTATTTGTCGATGCTACTTTTACCTGAAAAGGCCCTATTCTGCTTTTTGGGGTTTTTTCCTTTCCTGCAGTGTGTTATAGGTTTTAGTGCATGTAAATCAGGGGTGTCAAACTCAATTTCAACTCGGGCCACATTAGCATCATGGTTGCACTCAAAGTGCCGGTTTTATATATAAGACTATATAAGAATAAATATATAAATATTTAATATATATAAAATAATGTATTATATTATATTATTGCCTCTGCATTGGATTATTATCGGATAGAGTAATAACTTCATAATTAACTACGTCTGAGAGCAAAAGTCTAGGGCAAACAATTGAAGTCTCTTCAGTGCGCATGTCACAAAATGATTTAAAAAGAAAAGCCAAATTCTGGAAAAACAAAAACAAAAAAGTGACATTTTGAAAAAAGAAAGTAACATTTTGAGAAAAAAAAAATGTCAAATTCCGAGAAAAAAGTCAAATTTGAGATGCATTGTGGGACATCTAGTTAATGGGCAATGTGCTTCTGTAAAGCGGCATGTAACCGTATAATAAACGTATTATATTATTTGCAAGCTCTTGTGGGGCCACATGAAATGAAGTCGCGGGCCGGATTTGGCCCCGGGCCTTGAGTTTGACACCCCTGATGTAAATGGTCTGCAAAGGCTAAAATCTCTGTGTTTCCTCCAGAGGGAGTTTCTCTCCTACACACTGCCGGAAACGCCTCCATTGGACTCTTTTGATTACTTCAGGAACATAGTGACATCACTATTGAACAATCGTGCTTCTATTGGTCTATCGCTCCAATACATTGTATGTGATAGACTAAGGGGCGGGACATCTCTAAGCGGTTGACCAATCAAGACACGATCAGAGCAGACTGGGCTCTGGTTTTGAAGAAGCTCCTTTTGATTTGAATAGGGTATAAAATAATAAAAAAAACAGGGAAATAAAGTTAATATTTGTCTTTAATAATTGAGTTAAAACTGATGATTTCAAGATATGATGTTGGGAATATCACTCCCACCACTCACTCACACACACACACACACACACACACACACACACACACACACACACACACACACACACACACACACACACACACACACACACACACACACACACACACACACACACAAGCAAACACAAACAAACACACACACACGCACACCCCCCTCCTCCTCTGGAAACCTGTTCTGGAGGGAGTGACTTGAATCCAAGCGTCGTCCAATTATATGGAGGCAGCACTTATTCCACTTTATTCCCGGCTACAGTTAAGTGGCTGTGAGCCTTCAGAGCCGCAGCAGTATAAAGGCAGAGCTGAACATGTGACTGTGAGCGAGAGACAAAGGTGGAGACATATCTACTACAGACAGAGAGGAAGCTCATCATATCCAGGAGGGCTTCTCATTCTCGTCTGGAGATGCTTCATATATCATGAGATTCTTTCTATAAGGGAGTAATTGTGAGTTGCTTGGAGAGTTTTTCACCTGTCAGGAGGATCAACTGTTGCTGCAGCCAGAGCTCAGTCAGAGACAAGCGTGTGTATGTGTGTGTGTGTGTGTGTGTGTGTGTGTGTGTGAGTGCGTAATTATGGATGTGTGCGAACGACACTCGGACATGCACACAGCCGGTGATGTGCAATTATCATGGAAGATATACTGTTGTTGATGCCTCGGATACACCTTCATCTGTCCTGATGTGGAGAACCGGCTCTCTCTCACACTGAATACTCTTTATTCTTCACATTAAGGACCTTTTTTGTGTAACTCACAGGCGTTTTGATACAGTGACCTTGCCCGATTTTGACATCCATCATGCTGATGATGATGAAGAACAGCGTAATGGATGCGCATCAGGTTGATATCGATCCGGAATTTGAGCCTCACAGTCGGTCTCGGTCGTGCTCTGCTTGGCCGCTACTGGAGGATTTCCCCGCCGGTGGAGAGGACGCAAACCTGGGTCTGGTTTCAGTCAAAGTGGAGAACGAGCAGTACAACGTGCCGGCGTCGTGCCAGCGTGCCGGGAAGAAAGGCGGCGCGCCGGCGGAGCTCCAGCACCCGACCGGAGCTCCGGTTCCCGGGGCGTCTGCGCTGGATGCGGCCGGGCAGCTGCGCAAAGCCAAGTCCTCCCGGAGGAACGCGTGGGGGAACCTGTCTTACGCGGACCTGATCACCCGGGCCATCGAGAGCACCCCGGACAAGAGGCTCACCCTGTCCCAGGTCTACGACTGGATGGTGCGCTTTGTTCCCTATTTCAAGGATAAAGGAGACAGCAACAGTTCAGCCGGATGGAAGGTAAGGTGTTTAGGAGACATGGATGTCATGAATGATTGGGGATTTATGTTCATATATGCCACATGAAAAATAATGTCATCTTCACACACCACATGGGGAAGGTTTTTAAGTGGAATATCTAGTCTATTCTGTCAGCAGCAAACTCCTCTCCTGCATGTTTCAAAGCCCTGGTTCCAAGATTCAAAGGATTTATTGTCAAATGCAAATCAGCTACACGAGAAACTTAAGTCCAGGCTCCTCCAACAATGCAACATAAATGTATAAAAGACATAAAACTGAAAAAAATTGTGCAAAAAGAAACAGAATAGAAATTAAATGTGCCTTTTTTCCTTATTTCAAGGATAAAGGCGACTGCAAAAGTTCAGCCACATGGAAGGTATGAAAAATAATGTTCCTATGTTCTTGTTCTTTATTAGGATCCTCATTAGCATTGACTATTCTGGGGCATGCATGAAGTGAAAAACAAAAATGATCATCATATTTAATATAATCAGTTTACCACAGACAGAGATCAATTATAATTTGGAGATGCTTTTAAGCAAACTTTTGAAGGGTACGTTGGATTATTCCTGAATAATATGGATTCCAGCTGACCATGTCCTCTCACACACCGCATGGGGAAGGTTTTTTACTGGACTATATTTAGCCTGTAGTCTGTCTCCTGCAGAAAATCCTGTCCTGCATATTTCAAAAGCCACATAATTGAGCCTTGGTTCCAGTAATTTATGTCTGCGTTGTGTCCCCGAGTCACTCCACTACAGTGTGTTCAGGGGAGTTGAGGGTTCACTGGCTTCATCCTATTTAAGAGATGCATGTGTGTATAGAAGGAGAAGCCACTCCCCCTCTTCACGGTTCTCTTTGGATAGGCTAGTGTCTGGTTTCAAGCCTTCCTCTGCTGGAAAGGAACAAAATACATTTGAGGAAGTTTAGGTCTGAGTTACAAAACGACTTAGTGATGGTTAAAGCAACACATATTATGGTTGATCTTATAAGCAAGTCACGTCACAGAATGTTAGTTTTGACTTTCATTTCCCTGGAAAAATTACTGTTGTTTTTCGCTTGAAAGCTTTGTATGTGTCAAAAACCACTGATCCTACAATTCCCACAATGCAACACGGTAACGCTTTTTATTGGATTGTCACTGAGACACTGACAAAGTGATTCTCAAACACAATCGGCAAAATGATAGCTATTCTTCAAACTATGAAGCTCTTTAGTTTTTGGATGTATGCGTAATCTCATAAAAAAAACAAAGTACTGTACTTTAGTACAATTTTAAAGTACTTGTACTTTACCTGAGTATTCACAGTGTATGCTACTTTATACTTTATACTTCATTCACAGGATATATTTTAATTTCAAACTACTGTACACCATTTTTTTAAGCATATAGTACACTATGTTAATATGTTAAGTAGATTGGTATATTAGAAGGTATGGGCCATTATGCATAAGGGGTACTTTTACTTTTGGTACTTTAAGTATATTTTGATGCTGTACTTTTACTTCAGTAAGATTTTAAATGTAGGACTTTTACTCCTAACAAAGTTCTTTGCAGTTAAGCTTATTATAAACACATGTCCTCCTATATCTGGTACATTTGGGCATTAATCAACACTTTCTAAACTGGGAGC